CCTAATTGGGACTAAATTATAGGGTGGTTGAATGGGTAATTTGAATTGTTGATTGATTAGCAATATGTTTTTATATTAGATCACCAGGGGGAGTTGGGGGGGTTCTATTATTTACATAAATTATGCAAGTTAAAACACGTTAATTGTTTAATGCAGATTTTATTCACACAAACACATTTTCTGCTGTGACAGGTTAAAAATACCGGCAGCGCTCTGTACAAATAAATTGGGTACTGCATGATTGAAGGGGGCACAGAGTTTTTCTTCTTTTCCTTTCCAGATGGACAGAATGGACCAGGCCTGCCCTTGGAGTCAAAAAGAGAAGTTAAGGTTCTACAAACTGATTAACATCTATTAGATAAGAACACTTTCTTGCATTAGGACGCCTTCTGTAATTATTAAATCATATATTTAAAGAACTGACTTAGACAAATGTTAGAAATTTTCATTATGACATATTTCACCACACCAGGGAGAGGCTGAAGTCCTAGGCAGATGTCCAAGGCTGGATCAGGCGATCTGAGGCTGCCAGGTCACACGCTATAGCCTGTAGGCATCTCCCGCCAACATATAAGAAGTAGTTTACATTCAACCAGAGGAAAAATTATTAATTGCTTGCTTATCTGGCGGTATTGAACTGGGAGTTTTTATTAGAGGGAACCCCTTTTAGGGTCCCTCGACCAGGGGGAGTTGTTAAGATATTTTTGGACTGTCCTATGGTTTTGATCTGCTCAGAGACGGGATTATAATGAAATTATGACCCGGTTCTGACTGGGTACTGGGCCAGCAGTTCTAAAAAGAGTCTCCCTGGGATTCAATATCTGTCAAGGAGTAATGACCGGGGACATCGGCCCTTCCGGTTGCTGCTCGTGCCGAACTGTCTTGGGAAGGCCAGCGCTGTAACTGTAATATTTTCCTGCCTTGTTTTAATATAATTGATAAAACTTAATTGGCGTTTCCTTTATTTATTGATATTTCGGGTTGCCACTTCTGAGGGAGGTCTGAGAAGGGGGAAGCGACGTGGGCTGAAGTGGGTTTCCGGGTCCGGTGGCCTGCAGCCAGCTCACGTCTTTAACAATGTCCTGCTGCACTTCTCTACAATTACTGTAATAGTTTTAAAAAAAATCCATGCTGCATGGTTTATTTAAAACATTACAGTAATTACATTTATGGTAAATTGTTTACACAAGGAGGGAGATTGAGAGTAACAGGTGATGAATGAGAGTGACTGCAGTC